CCTGGCATTTAATTAACTTTTCAAAGCGCTGGTTCAGCAACCTCTGTGTTCTACATTTTGAATATTGAACAAGCATCTCTAATCGGATCTGAACCGCTTCTGGGCCTGCCGAGACGAAGAGTGCCTGCTCAGGTTTCACGGGCACCGTGGAATCTTGTCTGAATTTCGGGAGAGCCAGCTCAGGATCCCTCAGGAGCAGAGGCTTCAGCTGTGAAGGCTTTTCCTGCCTCCCCTCAGCCTTCAGGTCAAGGCAGAGTTCATTGACACTGGTGTTAGAAGACAGCGGGCAACTCAACAGCATAAGGCGACAGGGTTTCCGTTTTGCTGCTCAGTACCTGTCGTTCAGCACACTGGCTGAAGTGAGCTTCAGGGCACTGATTCTCATACGTGTGACCGGGTCCCGTCTCTGGAAATTACTTCCTCGGGGGGCCTGGGGTGAGGCCCAGCACATAGACACTGGGGAAAACAACAAAAAAACTCAGTGATTCTCTTGTGCGCCGCTGGTTGAGAGCTGTCGTGGTAAAGGATTCTTTCTAGTTCTCTGTATCTGCCTTTGCCTCCCGTAAGTGTGGCAAGTCAGGAACGGACGGTCTGCACGGTGAACGCACACAGGTTTCCGGGGGCCCGAGGGGCGTCTGAAAGCCAGAGGGTACCCGCTTTTGAAAAGGCCCGGGCCAGAGTGTTTAGAATCTAGGGTGCAAGTCAGGAGATGGGGTTTCTTGCGTCAGCCTCGTGACTGACTCGCCCCGTGACTTGGACGGAGCGCACGCCTCTGTCACATAGCGTCTCTGAAACCCGCTCGAGCTCATCCCCAGAGCCGGGCTGAGCTGGCGTTAGTGTTGGCAAAGCGTGAGGTGAAGAACACCGAGGGAGACTCCTCCTGTGGAAGGTGGTCGGGCTCCCAGCCCCCCACCCCCGGCGCCCCCCTCAGGAGCCACTTCTGGGACAGAAGGCACGTGGGCCGGGGGTGCAGCAAGAGACCAGATGCCCAGGGCACAGCCGACTACAGCCCTGTGGACGGTCTACGCTGAGGCTGGGCCCGGTCACGCTGTTTCCTCAGAAGTACGTCTGTAAGGAGGAGATGCCCCGGAACCCTCCGTCCTCTACCTCAGCCTCCACCTCCCCGCAGTCTGTGGGAGCCCAGATCCTTCTCTAGTTACCCCACCCTATGGCGCTGTGATAAACCACGGTGTTTGGGTTTTGTTGGGTTTTTTTCTCTTTAACCTGTCACCGACAATTTAAAAATACACTTTACTTCATGACTGGGTTTGTCTGTTTATAAACCTGGGCGGGGGGGGGGGGGGAATGTTTATGTAATACATTCCCTTACTATTTGCAGGATACTCTCTTTTCTGTTCTACTCTATGCTGTTAAAAAAGAAAAAGGAAAAGACCAGAAAGGCTGGCGATGATCCACTAAATTGATTTTATGACTCACGGTGGGTCATGACCTGTAGTTGGAAGATCACTGTGCTCGAGTCTGTGTCCTTGTGCCGGACTCTGTCAATGTGTGACTGGAGGTGCCTTTGGGGACCAGGCAGGTAAAGTAGATCTGCGAAGTGGGTGGGGTCGTATATCAAAACGGCACCTTAAATTCTGTTACTGAGGTGCACGTACAGATTAGTTGCGTGTTCACATTTCCATAAAGACACGTACGCTGTCACTTCTAAGACGTTCTTCCCACTTAGCCTTCCTTTTGCTTTCTGGCTTTTGGTAGCTGCGAAGCTCTGGGAAATGCTTCTCTTGCTTCTTAATTCCTACTCTAAGAGAGCCAGCAGTGCAGACTGAATGACAAAGACACTCCTCCTGACCACCCGCCCCAACCCTGTGCTGGGAAGGGCTGGGGGTTCAGGCTCGTCACAGCCACACTTCACTTGAGTTTTCCGTAAGGGAATGCAGGCCCGGCCTCGCAGGCTTTGTCTCTGAAGAACTCAGAAATCTGGATTTTTGTACAAAATCTCCCAGTGTGGGCAACAAATTCATGTTGAAACCAACACAAAAATGAACACCAGTGTGGTCCAGACAAACTGACACACTCCTAGGTAAGGCCAGAAAGCGCTCAGCTTTATCAAACGCAAGGCACTCCCTGGTCCATTCTCCAGGGCCTTGCCCAAGTTCCCACTGGCCTTTCCATCTATCCCGAGCAGAAGGCTTGCCCAGAATCTGCTATTTCAGGCAGAGAGAGTGAGAGAGAGAGAGGGAAAAAACAAAACGAGAGAGAACGAGAGAACATGCCACCCGAGGGCATCCCCACTCTCTGTTCTTGAGGGCTCCATTCTTATTTTTATTATTTTTTTAAAGGTTTATTTATTTTTGAAAGACGGAGAGAGAGAGAGTGCTAGGCATGCAGAGCAGAGAGAGAGGGAGACACAGAATCCGAACCAGGCTCCAGGCGCTGAGCTGTCAGCACTGAGCCCGATGCGGGGCTCGAACCCAGGGGCCGTGAGATCATGACCTGAGCCAAAGTCGGACGCTTAACCAACTGAGCCACCCAGGCGCCCCAAGGGCTCCATTTTGATCTTGTTCCTCCTCATGGAGTGAAATGAAATTTTGAAGGAGTCCTTGAGCCACCCTGGAGTGAGAGAGAATAGGATGTGAACTCAGCAGCAGTTATGCTGAATGTGAAACTCCTCCCCGTTTGGATGTGGAGTGGATAAATGGCAGCTAATCAGCCTTCCCCTGAAGATTAGTGGTGCCATTATTGCTTCCTTCAGACAAAATCACTGCTACTTTGGCCATGGCACGTTGCTTAGGAAGGGACGATATAATCACAACTCTTCGGGGTAATCAGAGATGCTATGTCTCTGATGTACAAAATGCAGGTGCTGGCCGGCCCGCCTGGCCTCTTTAATCACATTGTTCTTCTCTGACCCTGTATTCAGCCAAGCCCTTCTGCTGTTGGTGATGTATTCCTGAGGCATTTGGATGGTGGGTTGTAAAGTTCAATTTCACCAGGACAATGAGAGGCAGTGGTTCTGGGGAACGTACATGAGCTGAGAGTAGAGCCTTCTGTCCTCCCACACAAACAGGTGGCTTTGGTGGCTGCTAGGTGCTCTATGTTTAGGATTTTCTTGACTCAGATGAGTATTGAAGACAAATATCCTCCAGCAACAACATTGGTGGTGATGCCTTGGGCACCCGTGTGCAGTTTACCTGTGGTGCCTCCCTTCCACCTTTTCTGTCCCCCGTGCCCTCCTGGCCCTCCCTGCTTGCTTAGTCTCTTTACTTTCTCTTTAAGAGTCAAAAACTACAGCCTGAGAGATCCCCTTAGAGTTGTTCCATCCAGTTCTTACCCATTCTCTTCTTGCCAGCAGCAGCCAAAACTCTCCCCCCCTCCCCCTCTTCCTTCCTTAACAGTGCAGTTGATGTGGTCCGAATTTCATGGAAACTAACCTATTTAAAGTTGGGCTTAATTTCTAATTACACTCAGGATGGGGGTGGGGGTTGTTTGGATTTTAAGGGAATTGTGGGTTGGTTCCCATGTAGCTCCACTGGCAAGGCTAGTGGGCCCAGCACTGTTGAAGGCCTTCTCATGCATCCTGGCTCTTGACCATTATGACATTGCCACCACCCTGTGCCCATGTTCATCATGGTGGTTGATTTCTGACTTGCAAGAATTCATTAAAACACACCACACACACACACACACACACACACACACACACACACACACAAAACCTTTGTTTACTGTGGAAATTTTTGGACATACAGAAAAGTAATCAACATGTACCCAATACCCAGCTTTAATAATTGTCAACATTTTGTCAGTCTCATTTAGAAGACTTTAGATCAGTGTTTCTCACAGTGTCAGTAGTGATCAACTTACATTAGGATTATCTGGGGATTTGTTTAAAATGCATATCCTCGAGCTCCCCTTTTCCCAGAGCAACTGATCCAGAAAGTTCTCTCTGCCAGGTCCAGTGATCTGCATGTCTAATAAGCTTCCCAGATAGTTCTTTAAAAAAAAAAAAAAAAAAAGTTTATTTCTTTATTTGGAGAGAGTGTGTACATGCAAGGGAGGGGCAGAGAGAGAGAGAGAGAGAGAGAGAGAGAATCCCAAGCAGGCTCCGAACTGTCAGCACAGAGTCTGACGCGGGGCTCAATCCCATGAACTGTGAAATCATGACCTGAGCCAAAATCAAGAGTCAGATGCTTAACTGACTGAACCACCCAGGCGTCCCTTGAGATGGTTCTTATGCACGTTGAAGTTTGAGAACCACAGCCTTAGATAAATTTCTGTATAATTAGGCTTCCTGTTTTCATGGAATGTCTTAAGGGCACTACTTGCCCAACATCACTCACAGGGTCTTCTGATTCTTAGGTGGAGGCTACAGAAAGGCCCAGAGCCTGCAGCTCGATCTGTATGGCTGGTTCATCCATTTTTGCTCCTGGGAAGCTCCACATGCTAACAACTAAAGCTCCAACTAAGACTCAAGGCCTCAATCCTAAGAAAGTGTTCTATAAATTGGTCTGTTAATTGTTGAAAGGAGGGCACTGTATCGTCTCTATCCTTTTGCGTTTTGAACTTCCTAGTCTGTCCTTAAACTCAACGATTTCAGTTGGAGTTATACTGAAATAAGCCTAGGCATTACAGGGGCGCCCGCGTGGCTCAGTTGAGCGTCTGCCTCTTGATTTCGGCTCGGTCAGTCTTGTGGTTTGTGGGTTCGAACCCTATGTCGGACTCTGCGCTGACAGTGCGGAGCCTGCTTAGGATTCTCTCTCTTTCCCTCTCTCTCTGCCCCTCCCCTGTGCTTGCTCGTGCGCTCTCTCTCTTTCAAAAATGAATACAAATAAAATAAAATAAATTAAAATAGAGAAACATGACAGCGTCTGTAATTCTCTCATGCGGGTTATAGGCCTTGGTCTAGAAAGAGAAATACAGATAAATAAAGCACTTGGAATATGCTAATTTGCCCTCACTTTTGAAACCCCCTCTCCTCCATACTCCACCAAGACATGAGTCTAGTGGGTTCTCACAAACCCTGCTTTTCTGTTTTTCAGGTCAGGAAGGAGGGCTTCTGAAGAAATAGAAGAGTATGTTCCCAGCATATTCTTATGGCATCCTTTGGGGACCTTTGCTAGCCGTGCAGGCTTCGCGGGCATCATCCGCTCAGCCTTTGTTGGACTTAACATTAGAAAATGGAACACATCTGACCGCAGTCTGCCCCTCTAGTTACGCACGTTGAATCAAGAGTTCAGTTAATGCTGCTTCCTCAGCCGGAGGTCTGGACCCTGGCACTGACGTCCCCGTCCCTCTCCCACCCTGTGGTTTTTAGAATCGGACGTCCAGGTATCAGAGTGCTGGCCCACGGGTTCTGCTTATTGGTACAGATGGGAAGAAGCAGCACCGGCTTTCTAAACCCAGCCTTCTCCTAAGACTTCCATCAAAGAGAGAGAAAGAAGGTTTCTAGGCAAAGATAGAGTGTAAAGGCAGAGCCACTGGACGCCAGTGACCCCGGGGGTGAGAGGAGCATCCGGGTCATAGTCTGTGGAACGGTCCCCCGCACAGCTTGTGCCACCGTATATGGCAGACCCGGTTGCCTAATTAGGTCTGACCAAGCTGATGGAGGAAAGTGGGTCCAGAGACAGTTTCATCTGGGAGAAAGGATACACACAGTGACAATTTGGGCGGTTTCTTTCTGTGTTTGAAGTTGATTTTCTTCTTTCCTTTCCTTCTTTTTGGGGGCAGTCACCGCCTCAGACAGCAGAGCTTGGATGGATCAGATGACGGAGGAGGTAAGATACCTTTGGAGGAAATCAAAAAAGCTTCCAGAGAGGCTCCACGGCCCCCAGAGCATTTCCTGGGTTGCAGCGAAGGCACTGTTTGCCGCAGCCTTACCGGGCTGCAGTGGCCGCATCCTGTCCTGTCTCCGTGCCTCGGGGGAGTGCTGCTTCCTCTGCCTGGAGCACCTCGCCTCCGGGGTTATCCTCCAGCCCTACTTGTCCTTCACAACTCTGCGGAAGCATCACCTGCTCTCACGTGTCCCCCCGTCCCCACGCCACTGCCTCTCTGACTCAGAAGTTTCTCCCCTGTGCTCCCACAGCGTGCTGGGCAAACTTAAGTTATAATAGTTAATGTTTATTGGGTGTTTATTCTGCCGGGTGCTATTCTACCAGTTTATATGCGTTAAAGCGTTTAGTCATCACAACGACCCCGTGAGATGGTGCTAGTCTCCCCATTTTACAGATGAGGAAACTAACATACAGAGACATTAAGTAAGTCTTCTTTCCAGTTCGTTTTAAACTCTGTGGTCCAGTGAGGATAGTTTCCACTGCTACGTAGCTACTCTTTTCTTCTATGGTGTCTAATCTGCCATTAAGGCCATTCGGTGAATTTGTTCTTTCAGATCATTGTATTTTTCACCTCTAGAAGCTCCATTCAGTTTTGTGTCTTCCATAATTTGATTATGTTTTGCTTCATCCTTGACGTTAGCCTTTATAGTAGCTGTTTTAAAGTCCTTTTCTGCTAATTCTATCATCTCTGTGTTTCCTGTGTTTCTTTCTACTGCCTGATTTTTCTTCTGGTTACAAGACATTTTTCTGCTTCTTCGCGTGATTGGTAGTTTTTTATTGGATGCTGGTCATTGTGAATGCTGCTATGTTGAGTGTCTGGACCTTGTTTCTGTTTTAGTAGGCAATTATATCTGTTTTAGGAGACAGTTAACGAATTTGTTAGTCAACTTGGTCATTTTGTTTTTAAGCTTTATTAGGGCAAGTCTAGAGCTAACTTTATTGTTTTCAAACTTTAAAAAGTTTATTAGAGACGGTGTTAGCAAAATGTCAGTTCTTAACAACTGTAGACGCAGTATAATCCTAATCAGACTCCCAGCAAGTTTCTGGATATTGACAAACTAATTCTAAGGTTTACATGGAGAAGAAAAAGAACCAGAATATTCCCTCCCTCTCCCCCCTCCCCCCCCTCTCTCTCTCCCTCTTTTTTCCCATAGAGCTAACTTTAAACATTAAGATCCCCAGGCATCCCTGCCTGGTGGTTCACAGGACTCTCCACTCTGCCTGGGTGGAGCTGAGCATCTTCCAGTTCTCTGTAAGCTTCGGGGATTGTTCTTTCTTGGCAGTAATTCGTTGTCCATCCATGCGGAACCTGACCCTATACACGCACAGCTTAGAGTGCAATCAGTCTAGATTTCTGCGGCCCTTCTGCTACATAGGTCCTCTCTCTCATCCTCTGCTTCTCCGGTTCCAGCCACCTTCGCCTACCTAAATTTTGACCTCTGTCTCCTCAACTCCACGAGATCTCCATGATCCACTTGGCGTTCCCCCTCCCTGGGCCAGAGTCCAGGAGGTATACACCCAGGCGGGAAGCCAGGGCGGATGGTAAGGTCTCACTCATTTCCCTTCTCTCAGGGATCACTGTCCTGCACTTCCTACTGTCTGCAGTCTGCACACAGTTGTATCTGTGTTATTTCCAGGTTCCTAATTGTCCCCTGCAGGAAGGTATGCCCGGTGCTGGTTACTCTGTCATGGCTGCAGGTGGAGCCCCAAAGCTTTCAGTAACTAACCTTTGCATGTGACCACAAAGTGAAATGGAGCATTAAATCTAGAAAGCTTAGGTTACCTGCGTTTCGGCTGCCTCACAGGATCGGGGACAAGTGAGATGCGTGAACTGTACTGGGATAATGGTCGAAATATAGATTCCCAGGCCGCCAGCAATCAGAAGCTGGAGTTGGGGCCCAGAGATCTGTATTAATGTAAATACACTCCCTGGACGAATATTTTGCACACCGAAGTGTGTCAGGCCTGCTGTAATGCCTCAAAAGTCAGGACTGAGGACAGGAACGGACAGGAAGTATGAAAAGGTACTTCTGCCTTATTTCCTGCCAAAGGGGTTTTAAGGTAAAAAGGTCGTCATAGGAGGTCAGGAATTCAGCTTCTGCTCTGAGATTTAGAGAGCTCCTGAGCACGGCTTCATCGTTCTTAAGTATTTGACTCTTCTTTTTCTGTTATCTCTTATCGACAGGGTCATTTCTTTTTCACCAGATCTTCTTCCTTAGCTCTACTCACTAAACTCCTTGTCGCTGGCAAACTCGTCCACCCACTAATGATTCCCAGTTAAATGAGCCCCTGTTAAATGAGGGATCCTGCGTTTCTGTTCCACAAGTCTCTTTCCCAACACGTGTACCTGGGTTGTCTCGTGTCAGTGCCAGATGTGGTGGCTCCGTGATTGGTGGCTGCTGGCCACACTTTTGATCTGCCTGTCCTCACAGATTGTCTCTCCGGACGTTGATTGCACAGGATAGCAGGGTGATCATCCAGGACGTTGGGCCAAAGAACTCAGGGAGGCAGGGGCCCCCCTGGACATTGACAAGGCTGTTAGGTGGTTAAGCAGCAGCGAGTGTGGACATTACGATGCTGCTAACTCTGAGGTGCTCATTAAACTCATGGTCTACAGAAGGTTTACTCAACTGGTATCTTTTCCCGGCCTCCTCCTACCCTAAACCTTAAACCTCTTTCTAACTCCCTTCAAAGGACTTCTGAAATCCTTCTTTCTCCATTTTTTGCGATGTGTGAAAATGCTACATTTCAAGGAATAACTGGTAAACATTACAGCACTCATTACCTCTGAATGCTGAAGTTATTACACATCATAAACGTGTGTTATTAGAAGGTTGTGCTGGCTGCCGTTGTGACGTCGTCACATTGGAAGTAAAGGATTTCAGCTTTGAGCACCTCTTCAGGCCATCTCGTCCCAGCCTGTCATTGCACGTGTGACAGCACCGCAGCTTAGAGATCATCATACAAAATAGGGTTCTGAGAGGGACTCTGGTCTCCCGACTCACAAAAGAACGCTCGCTCTCATAGCGCTTATCCACCAGTATCACTGCCATCACCACTCATCACCAAACTCCTTTAATTCTCAAGACAAATCTATGAGAAAGTTTTTAAAAATCACCTTCATTGAGGTCTAATGTACATACAAGAAACTGAATCCACTTAAAATGCACCAGCTGAGTTGTGACAGGTGTATACGCCCCATGAAACCGCTTCCGTAATCAAATATGGAACATTTCTGTTGGCCCTCCAGAATTTCTCATGCCCCTTTCCGGTCCATCCTTCCTCTGCCCCTGTCTCCAGGCGACTACTGATTCGTTTTTTGTTGCTCTGGGGCGGTTTGCATTTTCTGGAGTTTTATGTAAGTTGCATCATAAGTACATATGCTGTTGTGTCTGGCTTTTTTCACTCATTGCAACGATTTTGAGTTTATCCAGGTTGTTGTATATATCGTTAGCCTGTTACGTTTATTGATGAGTACTATTCCAGTGTATGGACATACCACATTTTGGTTATCTGTTCACCTGGCAGTGGACATTTTGGATTGCTCGCGATCTCCATATTAAAGATGAGCTGACTAAGGCAAAGAGAAACATCCTTGCCAAAGGTCACACAACTAGTAAGTGATGACACTTGGATGAGCGGCTGTGCTCACCTCTATACCACCAACACTACACAGCCCAGCACCAGGATTTGAATACAGATCTTGACCCCAGAGTCCTTGCTCCTGGCCTCTGGGCTGTCACAGATGGTGTGACCCTCAGCTATGTTGGTGTCTCCTTCCACAGGTGGGCTGTATTCATGTCAGCTCCCACGTTTGTAATGTAGAGTGCCTAGCGTGACTGATAGGATACTTAATACAATTCCATTAAGGAAGGAGAGAAGAAAGAAATTTATTTTCAGAGAATACTCCTAGTATTTCTTTTTCCCTTTCATAAACTTGAAGTGTGAAATTAGTGATTTGGCCTTTATTTTGGCTCTGGAGGTTTAACACGTAAAACCCCCTTCCTTGTCACAGTGTACTTGATTTTACCTTCTAGGAGGGATGCCTCTTCCCCGGCATAAATCTGTTTTCCGTGCAGTTATGCCTGAGTCCTTTAGTGGAAAATCAGTTCATATGTTACACTTCACACTCGACTTCGTCTATTTGACTGTATGTGAATGTTTAGAATCCATTATGCAGTAGGAATCATATGTTACCTGTAACTAGTTTTTAGAATTATCTTTGCTCAGAGAATTACTTGGTTGGCTAGTGAAGGCTGCTCCTTTGAACTTAGAATAGCCAGTGGGTGGGGACACTCCATGAATGATTGCCCTGAACCATCCATGGATGCTCATTCAGCAATGCCATTAAGCAGATCTTTGGGTGCCTTATGAGGGAACCTACTGGTGCCCATAATAAAATCACACCCAGGTTCTTCAAGGTCATTGGTGTGAGGAGCTTTGTCACCTGGGAAGAGGCTGCTAGTTTCCTTGTACTTGGTAGGGGTGACAATTGGCCAGCAATCTCAAAGGAGACTGAGTCTTAGGGAGTAGATACGAGGATCCAAGGTCTAGGATCCAAGCAGGCGGTCTCGTTCCACTACCAGTCTTAGAGGTTAGATTTTATTGAAGAAAGGCAGCAGGTGTTCGTACAATGCCTCCTGTGGCCAGGACTGCCCTGATGCCAGAGATAGTGGCGAGTAAGGCAGCCCTTGCCCTCCGAGAGATTCTGATGTAGTGAGAAATGCCCCCTCCGTTCCCTCCCTGTCTTGTCTAGGAAATTTCCAGGAGCCATGTTTCTGGGATCTGTGTCTCAGCATTCAGCCTCCCAAGCTCTGGGTACGTGTTCTTCTTCCCTGGAGAAGATGCCCAGGGAGAGAAGAGAAATGCTTCTTCCATCGATGTGTCAGACTTCCAAGGAAGAGAGCAGGAAAATAGAAGAAGAAAGGGGCTTTTAGGATAAG